TAAACCGCTCAATTTGGATACAATAGGAATGGCTACGATATAAGGATGTTGTTTAAATAATTGTTTTCTTTTAAACGGATATATATGTTGTAAAAATATATATGTACTGAAAGCGCCAATTTATGCGGTATGTTGTATTCGAGTGAGTGGAAATTGTCATTGTAATACAATAACATGAAACGCTTTGTTATTTTAGTTGTCATCAAATATAATGGACGTCAGGTAACATTATGACTGTTTCATCTCTCTAAATTACTCACATAACACGACTCTCACAAGACACGAACTTAGGTTTTAAAAGGGTCATAATGAACGCTTGTACGAATTGTTCCATAGCTTTGTGTTTTTGGTATTGTATAAAACGTTGTTTGTGTAAATAATATGGTACCTTTAACACATAAATGATGATTGTTACAGACATACTATTATGGTAATTAGCGTTACGAAATTTTACGTTTTGCATAACGGTTGCGTGGATTCATATATCAACTCGTATTCGGAGGCGAAATATTTTCGTATTATTTTATTTGAAAATATTGTTATCACTAAAAAAAAAAAAACAACAAATAATTACAATAACCACAAAGTAAAGAATATTAAACTAACCGAAGTCAATTTAAAGATAATCAATTATTTTATTGACTTTATAAATTGGTCTTAAAATATGAGTTAGCAAATCATTTTAAACGTCTTCGTAAAAATCACACTTCAACGTCATCAAAGATAAAGTGACGTCGGTAACAATAACTTGAAGAACTTTCATCTTCAATGAAATAAAGTTTAACGAGTAAAAAGATCATCAAGATTTTACGGTCCATCCTGGATATAAGATTTATGAACCTGTTCAATGAAATACGAAATAAAAATCACGCCTTCGAGTCACGCAAATACGAGACATTTGAATTGGTTTGTCACGTGTGATAAATGGATTCCGTATTGCATCGGGGTAAATAATATATGGACTTGTTAAAACACTCATAAATTTGGTTAATAGTTTTTAATACAAACGATAGTTTTTATATTACGCTATATGATGGAATAAAATTTTTATTTTCCATGAACTTATTACGACATAATATCGCATGAGATTGCATTTTTAATGAGATATAGATTTTGTTTACAGATCGCCAGTGATAGAGAAATGTCCCCAAGGTTCTTTTCACGTTAGATAGAATGCCGCTGGAAAGACATGAAGTTAGCATTTTTTATCTTTATTTTATAAAAATCTTGTATTAACTAAACAAGCCCTGGGGTAATTAACGTATATAAAGTAAACTGATACAACGTAGTTTTTATGTATATGCCATACATGTGCATATCAGTATTCAGTATTAAAAAATGATTTTAATATCAGTTTTCGTGAACAAATCACAATAGAGTTGAAGTTGAAGTGTACGAAACAGGAGAAGCCTAGTCAGTTCTGTGATAGTGCCATAAAAATTGTAATAAGTAAACATATATGTCTTGACATAATTCGCTTATAGTATTCAATTACGTATGTATGATATTATTGTTACAATTAAATAGAGATGATTCTTAACGATTAAATGCAAAACCCATTCAGAAAATATCACCGACTTGAGACGGCGGAGGCAATTTCGTATTATTCGTTAATAAGATAATATATACTGTCACGAGTATTATGAAATTGGGTCTTTAGTGATCTTCTCTATATTAATGAGGCGCAAATACAATTATTTTATATATGGATATTTTATCCTAATAGGAAATTTCATAAGCTATTTTATACTTAAAAAATAAATTAAAAAAAGAACTTAATCAAAACGTTAAGACACATTAATTTTACGCAACTGACGTAAGTCAAATTTAATACAAAAGTCAATTAAAATAACGTTTGTAAGGAGATTTCTTTTTTATAATAGGTAACTGTATGAATAGTAGAAATATAATAGTTTATTCATTAAAAAGAAATGCTATTAATTAATAATTTTAATAACAATACATGTAAGAATATTTTATGTAAATCTTACAGATCATATAATAATATTATTTCAAATGATTTTATCAACACAAAAATCATTTTGTCTTATTATCAAGTAAGACACCTTTAATAGATATTATTATTAAATAGTATAAGAAATTCTTTTGCACGATGGAAACATCAAAGAAATTCTATAAACGCCTTTCTCAATCATTCGTTACGGGAAAGACTAATTAGATGGTATTACATATTTTCTGAAAAGAAAATGTATTGAAAAATGTGTTCCAAGAAACATTTATAGTTCAGAAAAATATAAAAAGTTTACTTTGAACAAATAAATTCACTTTATTTCTAAAGATGCATTCAAATGATTCATTCCCGATGCAAAAAGATTTCGTCGTCTTATACTTCACGTTGTTTTTTTAATATTGAATTATTTGCTCAGCACACAAATTGCGTCTATTGAAGTTTAATTATTACGAATATTGAACTTAAAATATCTAGTCTATCGGAATAAGTTTCATCATTAAAGTAATCGAGGCAGCGTAGAGACGGTCGCTGAAGTTTTATAAGTAATAATAATTGCTTATCTACATTGGCATAGTTGGACTTTGAAAAGTTTAATCGGTATACTTTTTATCTTTCAAAAGGATTTCAACGCCCATTATATAGTGTTCCTATTCAATTTTTGCTTCCATTAACAGTATCAGAAGGTAGTTTCGAATTTTGAGTGACCTCGTACGTGTATGTACAAAGAGTACACGTGATTGAATTTCGGATACAATTAATATCTATCAGGTTAAAGCTTTTGCACCCAAAACCTTTGACACAACGGTTGCTTTACCTGGACTAAATGGACTACATGGGAAAAATGTATGTGATTTTATAAAACATTTTAAATTAACTTTAAAAGTTTTACATAAAACAAAATCATAGTGAGCTGAAATTTTTGCGTTGATAATTTTTTTATAATTTTGAAATAAAAAAGAAAATAAAGAATTGGAATCGTAGATTTTAATACCACGCACCTTTAAATTATTATTATTTAGCGTTCAATACATTTTTTTTGTTAATATTTGTTTTTATATGTATACATTCAGTTTTTGTTTTGAATTGTTGACATCGTGCTACGTCGATGTTGGCATTCAGATTATTACAAATAATATTTTATATTATTTCGGTAATCTGGAATATTTTATACAATGTAAAATAAATAAATATTTGCGTTTAAATAAATATCTAAATATCTAAATATTATTAATCAATTAATAAATTTTGAGTTAATACATTTTGAGGTAAACTGCATGTATTACTTAAGTAAGTACAAAACTATGTATATATGGTATGATTCAATATATGTATTTTAAAAGACTTTAAATTCTTTATTTTCCTTTTTTTATTTTAAAATATTGTTTAACGCAAAAATCTCAATAAAAATTTCACTATGCCTTAAATGGAATTGTATATTTATAAATTAAACCTGTGTATATTGTCATTTATTTTATGTATATTATTAGGTATAGTCTTGGTAATTATGAAGTATAAAGTTTAGTGGTTTTTTTAAATAACATTTATGACTCTTCATGATAATATCCAAATTTTTGTATTAAAAACTATAGATGCCCTTTCAATACCACATGTAATTGTACTGTTATTGATGGGTGTACATAATTAAGAGAAGAATATTATTAAAGCATAGGTCGACATATGTATATTCATTTGACTCCCGCAACACAAACAATACGTACATTCATTGATAGGTATAAAATTGTTTTAAAATTCATCCATAATAATGTAACGTAAATCCTAATTCTGCTATCTGATATAAATAAAATAATATCGTATACGTACATAATACATATACTATATTATTTTAAATTAATTAAAGACCGTACAGCTGAAAATTGCATCCTACCTTGCCACAACTTATAAGCATCCTTTATAAACTTTTAATTGTAAGCAAAAAATAGTTCTATCGAGTTGTTCGTCATATATACTTATATTTTCTGATACCTGAACAGTTTAGTGTTCCCTTTTTATATAATAATAAATCGTTCAACTTTGCACGAAATATAGTTGTATAGCTAATTATGATTTTCATTCATTTTGTCGACTATTCAATGGTTCTACGGTACTGGTACGCTAAAATATAATATCAAAATATGAATATGAAGTAGTTGATCATGGAAGACGTACAGAGTTAAAACGTCGTCTGCATGTAAAATTAAACGTGACGTAATATTATGAACTAGTTTTTGTCCGCCACTTCACTTCATGAATAAGATTATGAGATATGAAAAACCTATTTAATAGATTTAAAAATTGTTTTCCAGCTAATTTCAAAGAAAGTATTATTTTTAGAGAAGCAACAATTTTTTTTTATTAAACTCAAAAACCAAAGTAGATTCTAAAGTTCCTTATACTAAAGACCAAATTTTCTTTCGTTCTAACAGTAAGAGAGAGCAGAATGTTTCTTTACAAAGGATTGTTTATTATAAATTTATGTGAGTTTTAAGATTGTTTTGGCCTCGTATGTAACTAATAAGGAGCCCTAGAGAAAATATAGCTATTTTAAAATCACAGTATTGTTTTTAATCACTTGCCTAATATTGAACGAAGCAGATTTTTTATATATACAGACATATGTCCTACAACGTTGCTCTTATTGTTGTAAGCTTCAAACAATGCCTAACATTTTACAAACCAAATGGCAGTGTTTCGAAGGATATTGACATTTTAAAATATTTAGATCGAAATGCCAATTCAACAATTATCGTGAGTATCATTGAAATGTTAACACTGTTAAGGATTTTTATTTACTTCTGAGAAGACAGTGCTTTTAAAGGGGTTTTCAGATATCCACATATAAAAATATAGACATCAGGAGTGATTTAATAAATGAACCTACTTCGAAACAGGTTTTCGAAGAAATTTTTTATTTAAATTAAAATCTTTCTTCAAATTAAACCAGTCAAAGTCTTTTAAAGCTCCATAAACCAAAAATCAAACAATAAAATACATATAACGACACAAAGTATGTTTTAAAAGTAAGCATTACCTCCAGATACGTTCTCTAATGCGAACGCATTGAACTTCCACGTCATCGATTGGTCGAGGATGCACTGCAAAAAATCATGGTCGTTAGATATTACTCAATAAGCTTCAATCATTTCCACATCAATTCATATCGCCGTTTAAAGGTCGCACTATGACAATATTTCGCACAGCTAAAGTATTCACTGAAAATATCCAGTTCAATGTTATACTCTTTACGTATATATTGTTAGTTGTTGGCTCATTGTCAATGGCAGAATATTGTATGGAAGGAATTCTAAATCACAGACAGGTACGTTAACGCAACGCTTGGCAAATGAACCATCTTAAAAGAATGTCGCTTAAATAATTTCGAGTTACTATTACTTTAAAACTTTACATTATTAAGAAGCCATACATACGCATGTAATACTTATTTTAGTCAGTTACAACCCTAGCGATAGTTTTTTTATATAACAATAAATTTCATAGCGAATGATTTCTACAAACGGTAGTGTTCTTTGTAATGAAAATATAATTAGTGGTGTTTGAATCGCTATATTGTTATGAAAATAAGCTAAATGTTACGCTTGATTTAGATAAACCATTTGTATCGTATACTCATTTTGGCTTCGGATATGTAAACAAATATGTCATACAATTTTATGGGTATTATAAAAGCGTTTGTCACTTAGACTTCCTGGTAGGGGCTCCTTTATATACATTATATCTAATGAAGCGAGAACAGCGGATGCTACAGTTTATAAATTATTAATTTAAAAAAGTATACTTCATTTCGTCAATCGTTCCTATAAAATATAATGTATTTTCCTTTATAGAATTTCACTTATGAAATATATTGGTACACAACATTATTATCCTCAGTGTCACGTCGTCCTTGTGTCAGCTACTTGGAACGTGCGGTCGTCACTTAACTTCGCATGCCAGTACATACCGAATCCAATCCGTGTTAATGCATCATGAATATAAACAAATTTCATTTAAATTTGTTAATGATGAAACATTGTTGTGAAGGACATCGTAATGACCGTGACGAGGCCTTTATAGTAAACGAAACCAGTGCTTAAGAACATATTTTATTTACTTTGGCATTAATGTGTTTTGGTAAAAGGATGTCAATTACAATGTAACACAAAGAGATTTCGCTGTGAATTATAAAGTAAGATATCGCAAAATAAACACGTAAGTGAATCACGCATGGTTAAAGAAGCTTGGCGACTTACATTAACAAATATAAACGAGGTTTATGTTGTCAGTAGTCCACTTGCCTGCACTTGTCCAAGTTGCAGGTCGTCGAGTAGAGCGGTTTCTTTGCTCAGGGACCTGGTGAGGAGGCGCTTTTTACGCCTCTTGTGCATCGTTAAGAACCGGCCCGTAAAAATGCTCCGGCTCGTTATCATCACGGCGTTCACATCCACTTGGGTGATCAACTCAGGAGCATGACGAACTGTAAAATAAAAATACGCATCAGAAACAGGAATATGTCTTATTTATTTTTTTGTCTTAAATTAAAGGTAGAAACTAAAAATAATCAAATATTTTAAAACTAGATAATATTTCACAATCTATCAACATTTCACTCTATGGAAAACTATTTTTTAAAAACACTTGCGAACATAAAACTTATGAAATGAAACCAGAAACTAAATAAAAAATTAATTTGCAGGTAAAGTTCCCCATAATTTCGTTTAAATAGAATTTACTGAAACACATAAAATTAAGAGGAAACGTTTCGAATTAATATTTTAAAAATACTTTATAAGAGGAACATCATAATTAAGATCTATTGACATAATTTTAAGACTTTTTTTGTTTTCGAAAATAGTATTTAGAGTATAAATTATGTATGGTTGAAGTGTTCTCATTTTGATGTCGAACTATCCTGCCGCTGGAATGTTTGCATCCACCGGAGTACATCGTATGTATGTATGTCAGTAATTTATGTGCAAACTCAAGAAGTTCGTTAAACTGTCTGACATCATGTAAACTCATTTCCTTTTTAAAAAGTAACTCCAATTAATTCGTTGCAGATATTCATAAGCCGCACTATAATTTATAAAGATGCTGCTGTCCCACTCAATCTCGTAATCTCGTGAGATTTTCTTCACATATGACAAGACTCGAGTCTCATTATATTATATATAAAAATATATCTAGTATATGAAGTGGTAATTTATAATTCGTATGAAATAAGTACGTACATGTTTTGTAAATATAACAGTTTGTCATAACAGCACTCACTACGTGTTTTGCTATCATCGGAGTTTATATGATTTTATCGTTGAATTTCCAATAATATATTAATAAACATAGTTATCGCAACGAGTAGAAATAAATGTAAGAAAATCAATTATAAATGGTTGCACGTCTGCGTCGGTATGCGTCCTATCCTCCACAGGGTTATGCATTGCGTATTAATTCCACAATTTATTTGAATACAATGTCGCTTTTATCGTAATTTATGTGCTATTCATTTTATTGTGACATCTTTATTTTTTTTCTCTCATTTTATTTTTAAATACCTATTTTTAACGACACTTGATAGGTGAATAACTATTTACTTTGTCGATTAGAATGAGGTATGGTAATAACAATACGTGTATCACAGTCACATCAGTTATCGGAATGGTCGTTTATCGTGCACTGTTTACTGATCGTTGATAAAAAGCCAATAAAAGCCTGGGCGAATCGTACAAACTAATGTCATCTATATCAATATGTATGTTATCGATTCCTGTAAAATTCGTTACGATCGTATAATTCGACCGCCTCCCATCATGTTCTCTGGCGAACGTTAAATGGTTTCATTATAAAACTAGCAGGAAATTCATACAGGCCATACAAACTGGCTACCGCGTGTGTAATTACTAATAATGTCGCTCAAAATTTTATTAATAGCTGCTCTTAAAAATAGTGACAATGATACAATCGAGCGATAACAGTATCATTAAAACTACGGCGTCCAATATAATAATAATAATAACAATTTAAAGTAAGAAAGTTTATTTTTGAAATCTAAAAGTTGAACAACCGGCGGGACAAAGGCCACGGAATTCGCTATATGATATAATAATGCTATAACAAAATAACCGACGTCTCACAAACAAGCTAGGTCAGTTTGATTGTCCGCCTCTTAAAGCCCGATGCGATAATTGAATAAGTATTGACTCCAATTTAAACTGCTCCATTACGTTATGACGTCTGTATTAAGTGTTTTTATTAGCTAACGTAGAACAAACGTCATTGTTATAATCGTTGTATCATTAAATAGGACTCAATAACACTCCACATTTCTTAATTACATTTATATATAATATTTATTAAACTTTTAAGACTGAATTTACAAAGTTTTACAAAACCAATTCCACGGCATACGCTTTTAAAGTTAAATAATTTCAGTTTTATCTCAGGGTAAAATATTTGCATAGCTTATAAGCTTATATATTTTAAATAAAAAAAGAATTTATTTTATTATTTAATGTATCAATAATAACTTTAATACACTACGATGTTATATTATGGAGTTTTGAATATACTTTGTAAGTGAAAAGTATTTTTATCAAATGGTACTTTAATTTCATTGTTAGACAGACTTGGTAGACTGTCGTTTGTTCTGCGACTAGGGAAAGGAGAGGAGAATAAGGTATAGCAAATATTGATCAAAACTGTACTCGCTTACGGAGCGGATGTGATGTCTGACCAATCTGATTCTTTTTCAAGTGATATATAGCTGTTAAGTAATAAACTCCTCTTTTCTTGCGTTCAAAGGAATTAGGTTTCGTGATCCGACACTTTAAAATGCCTGCTATTGAGGTATATGCGAATTTATAGTAAATTTTCGTACCACAATATCTAAAATCAACGGTTGTCGAATATTTTCACTCCATATATAAGTTACTTATACTTAAAATTAGCACATTAAAGCTAAGACCGTGACCTTTACGGGATGCATAAAACACTCGTCATATTTAGCATCCATATGGTCCCATAAATTATGTATAAGATATACATATATTAAAAAAAGATATATATTAATTTGTAGTGATTATTACAAATACGCTGGAATAACTACGAAGCTTGAGGTATTAAACGTCATATGATTTATCGTTTCCATTCGAAGTCATGTTTTTTAAATAAAACTTTCATATCTCGAGTAAGACTAGCGTTATTTTTATTTATAATTATTTGTATTTTTATAGGTGTTATGTTATGAAAAGAGAATTGATAGATTTTGACTTATGACGGTGAAATTGAGGGAGATTTAATGGAAATAAATTATTTCTTAGTGAAAATTTATAGAGGGATAAATAAATAAAAATTGAAATTAGTTTTGATTGTTATTGTGATGTTTTGTTTACTGGGCGTCTGGATCGTAGTCTTTTCTTCATCCTATTTAGTAAATTTAATAAAGTATATTTAACTAAAGTATAACTTAGTCGTATTTAAAATCGAAGATTAAGTCTTCCTTACTTATCTCTTTATCAGTTGACGTCACTGAAACATAAGTTTTTAATTCGGTTGTCATTGTCAGAAAGAGCAATGAACTAGTCTTAGTTCCTTTGAATAAAACGACCGAGTTAAACTGTCATGTTGAAATCTGTTTGACGTGAACACATTTTGCTATAGTTGTTTTAAATAAATTAAAAATATAGTAGCATGAAGATGTTTTATTACTGGGTCTATTACAGCCGTAATGAATTACGTTGATTTGATAATATTAATTCTAGTTACTAGTTATACATTTTGTATGTTGAAAAAGCATTACTTTAAAAAGTACTAAAGAATTTCAACACTGTAATTTAAATAAGCGTCCTGGTGTATAAATTGCTTCTTAAGGTCTAGTAATCTTGTGACTTGTAGAATACATTGTAGAGATTTAAATATCAAATTGCTTCTGGGGCTTAGAGACGTCTTTATTTGCTGAATTCATCTATTCTGTAAGGAGTGACTGTCGCATGAGGTAGTAATACTTTGTAATCCTTGACGGTTAAAGATAAGACTATCTGAAGCAAGACATATTAAAATGTAGTGACAAATGTTAATTTTATAATACGGAAATGCTTTTTATTACATTTTCTATTTTTATTACGCATACAAAAGATTAAACACCTTATTAAGTCATAATAAATTTTCCTCCGAACCTCGGTTCGTTTGTAAAGGAAATGCATAAAATATAAAATGAAAAAGGCTTTTAAAATGGAAGTTCATTTTTGCTATTTACTATCTCCATAAAAATAAATTTCTCTGTGTTTTTAATAAATACTTTATTATTATTTTAAGGGTGTTTTGTTAGTATTTATATTTTTCTACTGTTTAAAAACAATTTTGTTTTCGATAAAATAAACATGATTTCATTCAATAAATACATATTGTGGTTAGTTTATAATTCTTTTTTCATTAAATTCGTGAATTTAAATATGAAAACATTGACCTAGTATTATATAGGTATACTTTAACGAGTGGGAAGCCGAGTGCAAAAACAAATTTATTTATAAATCTTAATAACTGAAGACCGAGAGATGTTCACGTTTCATAAACACGTCTCTCTCTTAATTTTATATCGAAATATAATAGCAAAGTTTATTATATAAAAATTATGTATTAATTATCACTTAAAGATTGAAGCTCTGAATCAGACGACAAAAATACCTCTTATAATTTTAGAAAATAGCTGATACTCATACATTGCTGGCCTGTTTTTAATCAAACATAATTAATAAAGAACCATCACAAGTAAACCGGTATTAAAATTTAAAAAAAAAACGCATGGAATTCGGTCGATCCCTTTTTGAGCGACCATGAGACAGGATCACATACAAAGAGACATCAAACTTGTAATACCCCTCTTTTTACGTCAGCCAAAAAAAAAGGTCCTCCAATAGAATAATCGTCTAAATACATGTCTTATTGGGTTCTTATTCTAAGATGTAATTAACCTCAATTGATTTCCAATGTTACTTTAAAAATTTTCCGACCAACATTTACTGAATGTCGACTTCGAAAAAATATCTAATAATAAATGAAATATCGACATAAATAAGTGGAACATATCAAGTTAGAATTAAGGTACCGTATTGAATTTCAAGTTGCGGAAAATAAGATATTTAGTCATCAGTCTGTCTGACTAAGTGGAAAAGACTTAAAAAGATCCGGAGGTCTTTCAAGGATATTTTTTTTATAAACGACGCTGCTTTTTAACTTAAAAAAAATATTATAACATTTTGACGGCACATCTGTTGCGTTTCTTCTTAAATATATAATATCGCCTTAGATCTCTGGACCTTAAATGTCCATCCTTCTCACAATATTATGAATATTTCTTGTTTTTGTGATAATAACAAAATTTTTCAACAACAAATCATTTGGATATAAAAAAACCTAAATCTCCGCTATTTGGACTACAAAAGTACTTTGAAAAGACAATAATATATATTTAACTGCTTACAAAATTTCGAAAGAGAATTTTTGGAAAATAAAACAAATTAAATGCATTTCTGACGAAAATTACAAGACGCTTGCTGTTAGCTCAATCAACAAGAGATTTGCTCTTTACACTTTCTTGGTTAACTTAAGACTGGCTTTTACGAATCAAAAGTTGTTTTAAAATGAGTTGTACAAGTTTTTTAATCAAACTGAGAATTCACGTACCATTCACATTTTAGAGTACAGATCTAGATATAGGTTATCTATTATTCTTCATATTCAGTCTTGGTATGTTTGTTTTTTAATATTTTCAATAATAAAACGACTTCTATCTTTAATGTTTATAAATTATAAATGTCAAAATAGGTTTATCATGTAAACCCATTATTATGGATATTAAGTTAAATACACTTGAATACATTAACGTAGTGAAAAACGAGCATCAGGTAATTACGAGTATAATATGCACGGAACCATTTCATTTGCGTCTTTCAACAAAATTAATTCGTAGTCTAATTTTAGATTTACTAAACTTTTCCAAGGCAATACTTATAATTTATTTTTAGGACAGGTTGACGTCTAGACTTCGTACAGACTTTGTAATTATTAGTTATGATACCAACTGGTAGAAACCTCGGCGAATCAAAATATTAATAAAGAAACAAAATGAATATTTTATGTTATCATGATTATGTAATTATGTTGTTCTGAACTCTGTGATGAATTAGTAACAATGACATTAACAAAAATTTTTGATCATATATCAATTATATTAATTAATAATTAGCCCATTTCTTTATCATTTGAAATGATTTCTTAAATCAGATTACTTCAAATATTATCAGAATTAAAAGATATTATATGTTTAACAAGATAAATAAACTTATATAACACTACAATGCAAATTGAAAGGAACTGTTAATATTGTACATTTATTTCAGTGGTCATTAATAAAATCATCCCTTAATCCAACCACTGAAAAGAACTCATTCATTATTGAAAAATTATTTCCGATTTAATATCGATATTTTAAAATGGTTATGCCTGTCGAAATGATCACATAGATTTCTCGTTTATACTAATGAGTAAATGTAATTAAATGTGATTAAAAACTGACTTTTTTAATAGGATTTATATTTATTTATTCTGTTACTAGTCTGAGAAAGAATTTAATAGATTTTTTTTAAATAAAATAAGTTATTCAAGAACACATACGGTTGGCCTTCATTGGATGTATGAAGATTATATGAGAATTTCAAATTATAGGACAAGGTTAGAAAAAATGATATGAAAACCCGGGATAAAGGATAGAAGAATAAACTGAAATAAAAGAAAATACCATCTAGCAAAAGTTTAGTTATAAAATACATTCAGACAGCATGTACGGTTTCTAAAATGTGTGTATTACAGTAAAAACTCTTTCTTTTGTTATATCATTATTTTCAACAAAAAATAACATTTTAAAATACATATTATATGTATATAGCAAAATATGGTGTGTTTTCCACGACATTATCATCATCATCTAAATGCTTTTTCTAACAAGGGGTTTGTGATAAGTAATCACAGGAATAATTGTAAAGTGTTAAGCGTCTTTCAAGTTAATAGGACGCTACAAAAAAGTAGACATTGATGAATTAAACATAACAGATCAATCTCGATGTACTTATAGGCTGGCTGATGGTTATCTCCGTGACTTTATTATATATTTTATATATGATATTGCTATTTAACCTAGAAAACAAAATGCCGAAAACCTTGGTGACGTTGAGGGTCGGGTCGGCAATTATCTTCAATATGGAATAAAACAAAGGCGAACGCATACATCATTCCTCTAAAGATTCTCCACATTATTGTAGTATTAGTCCTTAAAAGGTAATTCTAAGTTATTTTTACTAAGGAAGCTTTGTTTTATTCTGAATATCTCTTTTAGGTATTAAAGGAGTACTATTATCTATTGTCAGAACCAAATGCTAATAAGCTTACTGTCATTAATTTGATTTTATTAAGGTTAGAATATTTAAAATTAGATTTCCTACTTTTTAAAACATTTTCAATAGCCTACTGCAGCTGGTAGACGTTATTTAATGAAAAAATTAGATTATAAAATTCTCATATACAAAATTTATAAAACCGTATGGAAATAAAATATAAACACATACAAAATCCTTTATTTTTCAAACTATTTATTAAAAATCAATTGATGCACGGAATATTTTAATAACGACAGAATAATACGTATACGCCACCGAAGAGATAGGGTGAAGAGACTTAAGCGAATTATGGTTGCCAGCCTATGGCGATGTAAGCGTCTAGATATTACCACCCATGTAGATACAAATAGAAGTACTTATATCTAGACAGAAATACTATCTTTACGAAAAAATTTGATATGACTTAAATAGTCTGAAAAATATGTTATCTTAAGATATAATGAGTCAATCAGGTAAACTCTGTCGTAATCAGTCCACAATAAGTTAAAGTTCTGGGATAATCTATATTTATATGAAATTAATTTGGGAGACAATAGTGTGTTTGATGCGAGTGAAAACTTAGTAAAGAGTTTTAAAAACGGTGTTAGTGTAAGCCATTTTTCATTTATATTTTTCTTATTAAATGATCAAGAATATAAGTTTTCTAAATTAATATAGTAGCAGCAGATTTTTAAAATGATGATAAACTTACGCAATGAACAAATAATTTGTCCTAAAGTTATTTCATTTATGTCATTGAATTTATTAAAAAATCGAAGCCATAATATTTAATCGTTTTCCAGATAATTTTGAATGGCATTTCAAAGATATTCGATATTACTTATAATTTACAAATGGAATAAAAAGAGAAAAAATGTATTTCTGAAAGTACAATTTAATTTTCATTAACTTTATTTATAATAATACCAATTTAGTCTTTTTTCTTTATATACCAAGTTACTCAACATATTTTTTATCTAGTAATATTCGCTTAAGAATAGCCTAAACTTAACAAAATATCGTTCATGTTAAATTTATTTATATTATATTAGACTAAATAAATAATATTTTGTTTGTTTAATATAAGCAGAATCTATCGGATACATTTTAACCATACTATACGGTAGACGACTGCATTATTCGAAATAACCACAGATTAGTTTCTTTAAAATATAGATGTCCTCAAAATATCTTCAGAAACTTAAATAAGAAAAAATATTCTGGGAGTTTAAATATTTTATTTATTGATAGCACATATTACTGAAGACGACCTAGTTTACAAAAGTATGCATCCAATTATCAGAGTGTTGTGAGTATGTAATAAAAAAGTAAATATTAAGAAAAGCTTCATTTTATTCAGAGCTAATGTGTAATATTATTCCTGAACAATATAATTACTGCGTCTCCATTAATGATATCGTGCTGTTGTCGAAGGTTGCTCGATATTGATATTATTATAGTTACGGTTAAATCATTGTACATGTACCTAAATTGTGTCCTAATTAGATCATAAAATTTTTCACTTGTAACCAAACTTTAGCTATAATTTAGTACAAATTAAAATGGTACTATTTCAACATATTTAAGTTCTTGATTTTAAGGTTGGGTTGGCATTACTTGTATGGTTTCTACCCAGAAGTTCGTCACTCCTTGAAAGGTGTCCTTTTATTGCTTGTTTTTTTGAATCGGCTCCTTAAATTTATTTTGTAAATACATAGAGATTGTGTAAAGAAAATTAAGACACGCATTATGAATAACGTCACTATTTTCACAGATGTGTAGTTGGAATGAGAATTCTTATGACCCAAGGCTGTTTCTAAGAAGTCGGACCGTGGTCCTCTTTGAAAGAACTTAACATAGTTAACCGTACACAGTCACCGAAAATAATAATTGTAAATGACCAAAAATATCTCTATTTCTTGAAGACGATTGTCTCAAAGAAGAATCATACGACAAAATTTGAAGGAGTTTCTTTGAAATACATTATTATATCCGAATGTTAATGTGATATAAACAGTATAATAATATCAAACACTTTTAAATAAATTTGCAACAATAATATGTATTTATATGTCTACGGGTCTTAACAAATTTGTGTATAAAATAATGTATCAAAGTCTATGTATCAAAACTATTTACCGAACAATATACACAATATTGGCACTAATTGCTTTGAAGTCGTTGAGGGTCCAATATTGTTTAAGCATACTTTAGGTATTACGGACTGCGCAGCGTCCGTTCATATACGATGTATACATTTATGTTATAATTTTAAACAGCCTACATATATATATTTCATTTATAGTAAAATGTTAAATTTAATGCTCTCTTTTTTAACTTTCTTTAATAGTATCTAAGAGCAATTTGCTGAGTAAGGAACATAATAACAATATATATTTATACATATTTCACATACCCATTTTCGATCGGTATTAGTATATTGTTATTTTCTATCTACATTTTTAACAATCTACCTTTTTCAACAGTTTTAATATTTTACCCTTAAATAACATTTAATCGTATAACCTAGGATTTATAAGACTCGTAATCGCAGTAATTTTTATAGAAATATCAATAAGTTACAAAGCGCGAATATTACAAAATACTTTTCGAATGCAAGTCTCGAAGAAGATTTTCTTAAAATCACGTTAGGAGTTATTTATTATATTAGAACAGAATATGTTATAGTAACAAATTATGCACGTCTAATTAAACTTTGTTACCGTTTAAAAATCTTACAACAGAATATCATTAGTGAATTAGCGTCGGCAACAAGTCCTCCACTGTACACAACTAACATAATAGCCCCTGTCAATCATTACAACAAAGTATGTCATAGATGCAAATATGATATTTAGTAATATATTTATATATATAACTAAAGATATATAGACTAAAAACTTTCTAGTTAATAACTCTTTGTATATAAAAGTACATATAAATTTCTTACAAAAGTTTTGCATGCTTATATTTTATTTTTCTTGAATAAATATGTGATTGGTTGTGTGTGTTAATATTTTAACATTATTGTGTATCATAAAACTCCTAACTCCATTGAAGTGAATATTGAATAAAACGCATATAAAATTAAATGATTATATATAAAGGTCTTGTTGTAGAACATACGAGATTTCTTTCACACTTACAACCGTACGTTTTACTTCCGTCTTATTCAATAAAAAGTAATTTTATCTCGTCTAAGACTTGAATTGCAAACGAACGATTATAGAACTGTATACGTCACTATCACGCCAATAAGGAACGAACGCCAATAAAAATAAGTGAGATTATTTCTGAGTAATTGTTTGAGATTCATGCAAGTATAATGTTTTAGTGACTTCAATCGTTAAACATGAGAAACCTATAGGTCAACAATGTACTATATGTGGAACAATGGATATAAAGTAAATTTATACTCACTTATAAATCATCATTCTAAGCGTAATTAAATGTAATTACAATGAAAAAAACTATTAAACTTATATTTGGCGATAATAAAACCGCGATGAAAGTGTACGAATACTTATAGACTGGGAATAGCGCCGGTTTAAAAATAGTCAGCGTAGAATCTTTTATTTGTATAAAAGATATTCTAAGATGTGGAAAATACTCCTCAGCAATTGTATTAATATAATAATTATATTTAAAGAGCTGAAAGCATTTAAACTAAGTTTTGTAACATTATAGACGTAATGGTGGTCCATATTTTTTTAACTCAATCCAGAACGATCTACGTAAATATCAAGATTAGTTAGAAGAAAAAGAAATTTTATTCTGAAATTATCAAATTAGATTATTGGAAACAAAAAAATATAAAAGCAAAATGTTTTGAATTTAGTGGAATTCGAATTTCTATGGCGTGGACAAAACATAAATTGTGATGGATAGAGAAAAATACTCAAAAGTTTTGATTTTATAAACTGAAATAACACGTGTCGCCGTTTAAAACAAACACTATTATTACATCCGTCAACATATGGGACATTCAATAATGAAACGCTTTGTTTTACAATAAGCTGTACACTGTAAACCTACATTACATGTAGCTTGTTAATTTCAAAGCACACCCGCAGCGATGTCACATCCACAACTTTATATACAAATTTAAATTTTTTATTATCTCTTACACGGTTAAAAGCCACAGCAAAGTAATAAAGAGACATGCGATTTTGTGTTATACGACATGATGAAGTAACTCACGAGCCGCTTTCGAGCTGAAAAGATAAAAAAAAATTCAGCCTTTGTGGATGGTACTGAAAAGTACTTAAAGTAATTTAAAAAATAGTCAAATGGGAGTCAAATCTCGCATTTAGAGTTCGGAACATATTTTCCATTACTTCAATGGAGTTCTTAAATTTTTCTTCACATAAATTTTGTTGTTTTATCACCTGTATGCATTTATTCATTTATTTTTTCATAACGATGTCCTAATATCATAGTATCATAAGTTAAAAAAATTGCAATTTATTTACTAACAAGTTTGTTTTGATTTTTTCATTATTAAGAAGGAAAAAAGTATTTAATTTATCATTGATATATTTTTTGACATTATTTACCTATTTCATTGAAATGAAATAAAGTTTGATTTTAAAGAGACCTATTAAAATACGGTAAAGTCGGTTCAACAGTTATCTGCCGAAGCTCTCTATGACTCTTGGAATTCATTAATTGCATTCATTGTTGTAAATTACCGATTATTGGGAATGTGTAGCCATAAACCTAGATTTAATTATATATAATTAGCATACGCACATAGCAAATAATATAAAAAAATGAACCATTAATAAGTAGAAAAAGTTCATGCAACGAAATTATTCAAATCATTATAATATATATGAAGTTTTTCACTTTGAAACAAAAGAATTTAAAAGCAAAAGA